ATCATCTGTCCATCTCCATCCATCCATCTGTCCATCTCCATCCGTCTCCGTCCATCCATCATCCATCGTCCATCCGTCCATCCATCCATTTCCATCATCCATCATCCATCCATCTGTCCATCATCCATCCTCGTCCATCCATCCATCCATCCATCCATCCAATCTGTCCATCTATCTGTCCGTCCATCATCTGTCCATCATTCCATCCATCCATCCATCCGTCCATCCTACATCTATCTGTCCATCCATCTGTCCGTCCATCCATCCATCCATCTCTCCATCATCCATCCATCCATCGTCCATCCATCCATCACCATCGTCCATCGTCATCCTCCATCATCCGTCCATCTGTCCATCCATCCATCCATCCCATCGTCATCCATCCTCGCTTCCGTCCATCCATCACATCGCCATCCATCTGTCAGCTCCATCCATCCATCCATCATCCTCCATCCATCTGTCATCTCATCCTGTCCATCCATCCATCCATCTCATCCTCCATCCATCCATCTCATCCGATCCATCCATCCATCCATCCATCCATCATCCATCATTCCAACGTCATCATCATTCATCATCCATCATCCGTCTAGTCCATCCATCCATCAGCCATCATCTGTCCAGTCCATCCTCATCATCTGTCCATCCATCCATCACTCCGTCCATCCATCCGTCCATCCGTCCATCTATCTGTCATCCATCATCTGTCCATCCATCCATCTGTCTATCCTATTTCTGTCCATCCATCCATCCTCCTTCCATCTGTCATCTGTCTGATACATCCATCTCATCTGATCTCATCCACCATCTTCATCTTCATCATCAATGTAAACTGTAGGCGCACACAGTGCCATCCATCCATCCATCTCATCTTCATCACATCCATCCTCTGTCCATCCATCTATCCTCCATCCATCTGTCTGTCTGACTGTCTGTCTATCTATACATCTGTCCATCCATCGTCCATCCTCCTATCTATCTATCATCCATCAATCCGTCTGTCCGTCCATCTCCATCCATCTTCTCATCTGTCCATCCATCCTCCATCCGTCTATCTATACATCTGTCCATCCATCCATATGTCCATCCGTCCATCTCCATCCGTCCATCCGTCCATCCAGTCTTCATACAGCCATGTAATATCTACAACATTTCTATAAAAAGATCCAGATTTTAAGTATTGGGTAAATGTTTATCAGTCTCGAGGCACTCCAGATGGAATATGTGTCCAACAGTACTTCAAAACAACTGTTTGCACGAGTGCCCACTGAATGATCCTGATCTGTTTTATTTCAATCACGTCTAACACGAAGCTCTTTTATCTCTCTTTAGCTTTGATTAAAGAAAAAAATGATTAGCAGTTGTTGTAACAAGGGCTTTAAATTCAAGGGCCTCTCAAGGCGTTGTGGCCGGCTGCCACAGAAACCAGTTTCACTGTTTGGGTTTAGCATTCCTTCTATTTCCATGGTGACAGCATCCAACCGAACATCTGAGCCATTTATTGCTCTACTCGTTATGGTGTGTTTTAATGAGGAGGATTAAACAGCACAATGATACAGCTTTGGGTTTAGCTCTCATGTCAGCATGGACATGATATAACTAGTAATTAGAGGGTAAGCACTTGATTTTCTTGTGTAACTGCAATTATAAGCAGCTGTTATCAAGTTATGCATGCCTCAAACACTTATCATCCATATTAATCTTACTCAAAAATGTTTAGATTTTAGTTTACAGACTTTTTTGTTTCTGTCCTCATCAGCAGCAGTCACATACAGTCACAGCTTCCATGACTGGGCAACATGAGGAGACCTTTTTAGTCTGGTAGATAAAGAAATGGGTTCAGCCGAAGAAGAGGAATAACATCACACGGTATGATTTCAGGCATAAATTCTAAATCTGTGCTGTTAGTCACTCGTGCACCCAGACAAGCTCTAAAAGTTAAAGTTTCACTGTGACCTGCAAAACTAAACTTTCTTTAGAATCTGTGTTAAAGCGTTGCTATTTTTCTTCCTGACTGAATTCCTCTATCATGTCTGCCTGGAGACTTACTGCCTGCAGCTTTTACATATACAAAAAAGCATCAAACATAAATAGCTACAGGCAAGGCTGCTCAAAGTTGTTGTACTGCAGGCAGAACAAATGGGACAACCTCAGAGATCCATCCATGGAGCATAAGGGGGCATCGTATGTACTGTTTTTCATAGTTTTAAAGAATGTGCCATGACTCTAATCAGTACATTCACACTGATATTAGATAGCATGAAAGTACTTTTTTTATTGGTGCAACTGTTTTTGTGGTTTTCAATCTTCTGTCGTTGTTTGGTTCCAGCCTTATTAGTTTGTGTTAAGTTACACCTTTAGCACCTGCGTATACATCATCCAGTCACTTATCAGTAGTCACTATATCTGTGACTGTTGCCTGTTCATCACAGTGCTCTTCTTTGTGTTCCAGTGCCTGCTTTACATTTATTGGACTGTCCTGCCTTGGGGTTTGAGACTTTCTGCCTTTTCCTGTAAGTTTCAGTCAGTTTCTTCGTTAGAGCTTGCTTGAGTATCTTTCTTTTTTTCTTCTTATTTTAGAAACCACCTGCCCCCCTTGTGTCTGCACTTCTAACCTCTTGAGTAAAGGAAGCCAGGGAGATGTTATCCTTTAAGCCCTGACCTAGGAACTCTCGACCTGACCAGATTAAGGACTTGCTTTACACTCCTCATTACCTCCTTTGTTTTGGGAGAAAGTCTACAGAATTGTTTATTGTGTGTGTGCAGAAAGGCCCCACGGCGTGTGCACGACAGCCGTCGTGAGCTTGACGATTTGAACAGCCCATACTGTCTTAGCAGGAAGTCATTTGAAATTCAGTAGATAAATTTGTGGGGAGGCTGAAATTCGGTCACTGCTGCTGAATCAACTCAAATTTTACTCATCCTAAAACTGAGTTCGCTGCAGTACCTCGAGGCTTTTGGACCCTGTTCTTGTCTTGTTCTGTCTCTCTCTACGTTGTTCCACATTACTGGTTAACTTCTCTCTTTTAATCATTTCGGCTGTGTTTGCTGCCAGTGTTCTTCCCTATGTTTCCTGTGTTTGCCTTCTTTATCTCTTACTAAACTCCCGTTGTTATCAAAGTTATTAAAGCCTAACAATCTTTCTTTCTTTTTTTGCAACAAAGTTGTCTCCCTCTTTTGTGTTTATATTACTATTGCACAGGCTGGAGTCTATAAATTCAGTCCTGCTGATGTGAGCAGAGATTTTACAATAATATTCACACACCCTTAAAGAGCACAATCAGGCTCAGAGACTATTGAGGCTCAGAAGAGCGCAATTAGGCTCCACTTGGCGCAATCTTTTTAAAATCAGCTATCATTTATCTGTCATTGGCGGAGGTCAATCAGTTTCACAGCCAGCCAGCAGGACTCTCCAGGAGCAGCTTATACATGTCTAGACTTGGACCGGGGGGGTATGATGGAGATCGAGCATATTCTCTGACCACATGTCTGTATCATTACAACAAATATTGATATGTTATAGACTCTGAAACAATCATTCTGACAGTTATTTCAGTTATATTAAAAATGTTATATTGGTGGTATAATTGGAATGCATTGAAATGGCAACAGGTGGTTCCCATTTCACTCTTTATTCAGCTCACTGTATTCAGTCTATATCCTGAGGCCGAGTTCAGAGTATTCAGAGCCATTTGTGTCTGTTTGAGATACAGCTCCAGCCAACTGCACATCCCCTCCCACAGCATGTAAGGCTTTTTTCATATGCAAATACCTCCCAAGGGTCTTTGTGTGGACCTATCTGCAGGCCCTTAAATGGCACATGCGTGGCACCTGACATCTCCTGATGCACGTAGCTGGTGTATGCATCTGTTTGTTTTGGCGGTGATAAGAATGCTGCTATTTGGTGTTTTGGACAGGAGCAGAGACAAATAGCATCCTCTTTTGTCCCCCTCCCCAAACCCACCCCCAGTCTTCCCACCCCGTTCATGGGTCACTATGCTACCCCCCATTGTTAGATGTCTTTTAGTCATCTTTAGCTTTTCAATCCTTAGAAAATGTGCAGAGATTAGTGTAGTCAGTGATGTCACCGCTCAGTCTTGTAATTAAAATTCTTAGCATGGACCGGTTGAAATGCAAGCCCACCAATAAACTCAGATTCAACACAGCTTTCTAAAAGTATTAGTATTATAATCATGCAGGTTTTCTTGCTGGTTTCTGAGAATGCATTCTAAAAGAATAAATACTAGGATGTAATATTTTATCACCAGTGTCTGAAACTCACTCTGGTTTCATACTGGACAAGTGCAGAAATCTGGTGTGGGGCTTGAATATATCATGACAATAAACTAAACCTCGAGGTAACTGAAACTCAACTCTGACACTAATTGTCTGAAAAGGAGTCACTTACCCTCTGTCGCAACCAGTGATGAGATGAGCAGTGTGCATGAAAGGAACGCAAAATGACGAAAGCGAATTAAATCCATAATCATGACAGGAAACCATCCTGTGCTCAAGTCTAGCCATACGCTGCGCTCTTACTGCAGATTGCTCCGTTTCTGCCTCGCAGTAGCGCCGTTGTCAACTCCAGATCCACTTGATGCACACTTCTCTGGCTGGAGCACCACCAAGAGCTCCCATAGCCCAGGAATAACAAAGACGGCGTGCTGTTCACCGGGGCACAGGCTGGGCTGCACACACCGAGCAGTGACAGATCACCACAGGGCAGTCTCATTAGAGAAAAAGAACTTTTCATAAATAACACAATGAATAATAAATATCACAATAGAAATATTCTATTCAATTAAGACCAGTTCCTGAGCCATTAATGAATCAAATGACGAGCCAACGACTTCACATTTTACTTATTTGTTTAAAGTTTAATATAGAGCGTTGAGCTATATACGTGGTGCGATTATTTCATGACAAATGATCAATTAAATCAAACTGTTCTTAAAACACAGAAAATCAAAAATAAACTCGGAAATATTTTTTAATCTTTACATTTTTGATGCTGAGGCGTCAATAAACGTAGAAACACCCCCAAATAAATAAAAGTATTTCTATTTATTTCACTTATAATGTTCAAACTACAAACGCACATCCAGCGCAATGAACGCGTTCCCAAGGCAACGCAAACAGGAAGTTGAGGAAGCTCTGAGGGGAGCGAAGGAGACAGCTGTGTTAAACGGACACAAGTGGCCGCTCGCTTTTCCGTGTCTCGTCTCCGAGATGTTAGAGTAACGTCCCCGCCGTGACTCCACGATGTCCGCATCAACGAGGGCCAGTTCAGCGCCGAGTTTGTCGAGGCCGGAGCGGACACCGGACACCGCAGGTGACGCTAACGGGCACACTCGTGACAGTAGCTACTGCCCACGTCTGTTCGAGTGGGTCGGGGCCAAGAAAGCGAAACCCTCCGAGGCACGCTTCAGTTTAGAGCCTTAAAGAAAGCATCGCATGAACTTTGTGTTTCTACATTCAGGTCTTTGCATTTAACATCAGTAGGATCAGTCACACAGTGTTGGTCAAGTTATTTCAAAATAGTAATTAGTTACTAATTACTGATTACTTCTCCAAGAAAGTAATCCAGTTACTTTACTGATTACTTATTTTCAAAAGTAATTAGTTACTTTATCTACTTAGTACTATTTAAAAACATGACGACAACCTGGATACGTAATAAGCAATGCCTTTCAGCCCATCTTCAAAGGCATCAAATAAAAAGCTTCTTTTAAAAGCAAAATGAAATATATGCGACAGTCTTTGACTCGAAGAAATTTTTAACATTTAAACTATTTCTGCACATTCCAGCACATAAAATAAAATAATGTTTTGTGTTTACACTCTCTTTCAAATAGATGCAAGTAAAACACGCAAAAATAATAAATCAAGATTCAGCAGCACTGGTCTGCGGGTGGAGGTTTGCCCACAGTGCAGCATGTCAGTGGGAGGATCCGGGGGTTTCTCTGTGAATGTCACGTTCCCGTGGCAGCGTGCTCGCTGCTCGCTCAGATTTCAAGTTTCATTTTTCGCTGTAGAAAGAAGTTTTCTTCCCACGCACAGCGGACGCTAATGTTTTTGCCACTTTTTACAGAATCAAACTTAAAGTAATGTGATTACTTTCATGCTTTAAACGCTGCATGCTCGTACTCTCTCTGCACGCCATATTATCCATTGTTGATCTGCACACGTCTGTCGCTGCCACGAACCTCGCACGCTCGTATGTCACTGTCATGAGACGCTCACAAACAACATCATGGTTTAGTAACGCAGCGTGCTTACAGGAAAGTAACAGTAATCTAATTACTTTTTGCAACAGTAATCCCTTACTTTACTAGTTGCTTGAAAAAGTAATCAGATTACGTCTGGTTGCACACAATCCCTTTGTCTTGGAGCTGTCTGCAGGCCTGCACCACCTTTTGTAATAATAAATAAAAGTCAGTACTTTTATTCATGCTTTATTTTTTTAAACTTTAGTGTGACTAACATGTTACACCAACACTAACAAGGGTGCCAAGGTTTGTGATACTTTATATTTTACTTTATTTTATTTTATTACTGGTGTCATTATTGTGCAGTGAAGAGAGACAGGACCCAAAAACGCAGGAATACAAACTAACACAAGCTAAACAGGGAGGAAACAAGTACAAAGAAACTAAAGACCTGACACACGGAACATGGGAAATGTCACGGATGACACGCCGACGATGCGGCAACGAACAGAGGAAGACGAAGGGCTTAAATACGCAGAGAGATAATGAGGGAATGAGACACAGCACAGCAGCTAACACAGCACACGAGACTGTCAAAGTAAAACAGGAAGCAGGACGCACTCACAAAGACACGGACTTGACTGACTGGGGAGACACGGGGAACATGGAGCACAAGAAGAGCACAGACGCAGAAACCAAGACACTGAAAATGATAAATAATAATGAAATCAAAGACTATTAATAACTCAACACAAAACACTGGGACACAGACTCAGGACCAGTTATGTTCCCTAAAGGCTCTTCTCTCCCAGTATAACTATAACAGCGCAGATGTGCACAACATTTAATGAGCCCTTCCCTCGTCCATGCATTTATTAGCAAGTTTCATAAAATTCAACTTGTTAGTTTTTTGCAAATTCTGTCTGACGACATTAAATAAATGGCTTTGATCACACTCTGTGCAGGATTAAAGTACAGGTAGTTGATACGTACTGTGCAAAAGGCTTCAGTCACTCTTCTTTATATTTTGCTACCAAAGAGCCAGACTTTCTTGTAATTATTTAAGGTGGAATTGACGATAGTTCTCCAAGCTTTTTGAAGGTCTGTATTGAACACGAGGAATATGGATGGAAGGGTGGATGTCAACAAATGGCTGAGGCCAAAATAGTGGAGTGAAAATCAGTGGAGAAGATCTAAAGGAGTGTTTTGTGTTTTTGGTCCTTTTATTCTTCTTTATTTCATCGTGTTCTCTGTGTGTCTTTTATTTCCTAGTTTCGTCTGCTTATACTTCTAACTTTATTTAGTGCTTCTAGTTTTGCTTGTCTGAGTATTTGGTCCTGTTCATGTTTGGTCTCGTCTTACCCCTGCGTCTTTCCTCCCCAGCATTTCCTGCATTGTCTTCATGTTTGTCTAGTTGCCTGTTTTCTGCAGTCATGTCTCTGTGTGTGTGTGTTTGTGTGTTCCCATTACTTCCTGTTTTACTTTGGTAGTCTCCTGTCTGTGTACACCATGTTCTGTTTTGCTTCTCTTACTTTGAAGGCACCCCATCTTAGTCCCAGCTGTGTTTCCTGTTCCCTTGTCACTCCTTTAAGCCCTTTGCTTTCTTCTGTCCAGCGCTGCGTTTTCCTGCTTGTCCTAGTGTTCTGCAATAAAGCTGTCTTTGAGTCTGCATTTTGGCTCCTTCGTTCCTCCTGCCTGCAGCACACAGGACATGACAGTTTTGTGAATTCAGATTTGAAACTTTTTATTCAAACCTTCATCAGTATGTACAGAGGAGGTCAGGGGAGATGCACAGCAGTGTCTACATCCATCTGTAAAACATGGTGGAGCTCGTGGTGATGGTGTACTGGCTGAAACATCGGTCTTGTCGACACTGATGGAGTTATCTATGCAACAAAGTGCTGTCAGAGTTTGATCCACCGTGTGACACAGTGTGGATCTGATTGGCAACAGCTTCGTTTTTCAGCATGACAGTGATTCCATGTATTTTTGCACATTTCAGTAAATAACTGAACTTATTCTTCCAGCAAAATATCAGGAAATTAGGGGTCACTAAAGACTTCTGCACAGAACTTGTTGTTTTAAACTTTTTTTCCTAACTTGTGACAAAGCCAAAGAAAGCTGATGTCTCCTTGTTCTTTGTGCGTGATGCAAGAAAATCCAGAACCTTTATTATGCACGTAGACATTTAACAGTGAAACCTAATGTCCCCTAAAATCAGCTCTGAGTTATTAAGCTGTTCTGATGGGTTTTGATCTTTCTCAGTGGCAGAGCTGAATTTTCAGGTCCCGGTGGTGAGCACCAAGACGCAGCCCGCTGTCAGAGGGCAGATCGTCCCACACGAACTTCTGCTCAGTCTAACCTCCACTGTGTGCAAGAGGAGAACACCGGGGCAATCCGCACACGACCGACACTGCGAGGTAGCATCAAACCCTCTTTTACGTCTACATGACCACACAACAGCTGATATAAAACAACCTGGACTGACTTTGTATCTAGAGCTATGGAATCAGACGCCCTGATGCAGTCTGGCATCATCCACTCGGACGCAAGAAATACAAACACTTTCTGGAGCAGCCAACATCCCTGACAGGAGCTGGCAGGTCAGTCAGATTTCTACAAACGTGGAGCTGATGATGTTTTATTATGTCAGTATTTAGTGCTCAGTTTCTCATCTACATATATTTACTCCTTTCTTCATGGATGGCGTCCTTATAGGGATATTTCTTTCCTGTGTGACGCCATGGTAACCAGAAAGAAGACAACACTCCTCCCACCAGTTAGTGAAAAGCAGGTCGTTGGTGGCGCGCAGGTGAGCCGCCTGTTTCTCTGTGTGTGCATATACCTGTTTGCTGCTGTCCATGTGAGCGTGTGCACACGTGCACGGCGCGAGGTGATGATCGCGGCCGCTTTGTCTTTCAGAACTCGTGCGTCTCCGACAGTTTTATCCCGGAAGAATTTCACATAGTGAAAAATAAAGGACTACGGAGCCTCGAGTTCTACGAGGAGTGAGCTTCACTGTGTTCAGTCTGTCTGTCGATTATCGCCGTGTGTCTGATGCTGTGATCGTGTTTAAAGCACAACTTTAACCCGTCTCTTCCACAGTGCATTCACAGTGCAGCTGAGGGATGAAGAGCAGAGGCTGCGGGTCCTCCCTTCACTGTGAGTTCACAGATATGAATTCCTCTCATTCATAATTAACCTTAAGCGATGTAGTAGAAGAAGTTGTCCTGCTGTGTGCCATGAAGTAGGCGGTGCTAGGCAAGACCAGGGTTAAGGGAGCGTTTAAATGTGTAATATTACACGTTTCTGTATGTTTTCGTGTCCAGGAGGCCCAGTGGGAGGCTGGAAGCGGTCCAGCTGATGGGGATGATGGATGACATGCTGGAGAAGGCTGGAGTGGATGAGCAGAGCGAGGAGCTGGCTGAGCTTTCACAAGTAGGCAGGCAGAGAAACATATGTAGTCATGCAGCCTTTACGTGGAAAAATGGACCAAACCTCGGAAAATATCAGGCGATCCTGGAAAATATTGATATTTCAGTTGCTTCAGCCTGCAGCTGCAAATCTGCACATTTACAGCCCGCCTTCACCTCGGGTGTCGTGTCTGATGTCTGCTCTGTTCTAAATCTTTCTGTGTCCTCCTGCTGCCGACGGATCTTTTGTTAACATTTCCATCATAAGTGTAATAGATTTAGAGATTTGAGTATAAAACACAGAAAAGTCAGAATTTGTGGTGCTGCTTGGAATATCCGATCGTGTAGAGTGTGAGAAGCCACACAATGACTTGTCTTCCAGCTGGAGGGTCTGCTTGAGCTCGTGAAGGTTGAGCAAAATATCTACAACATTGTCTTCCATGAACTGATCAGGCAGGTGAGCGTGGGCTGTGCCGAGAGAGGACAGCTGCTTGCCAAACTCAGGTTAGCGGCACACACATCAGAGGAAAGGCCACAAGCATAACGAGCCTTAAAAGCAAAATATGAATGAGACATGAGTCTGCAGTGGCGTTTTGTTAATAATTCAAGTTAAATGTAAAAACTGAAATCTTGGTCCAGTAATGACCTCTGCAGGGTCTGTGTCACAGCAGCCGTGTGTTTGTTCAGACAGCGCTACCAGTCGCTGCTGAATCGAATCCCGCGGCGCCTGAAGGCTTTGCACACCGAGGTGGTGGCCCAGCGGGCTCTGGATCGTCGGCTCACAGAGGAGATCCACCACATCAAGTTATCCATTCAGCAGCTTAGCGTGTACGTACGATCAGACTGGGGGGTGATCACGAGTAATATTACCACGTGCTGCTCCAGAACAAATAATATATGTCGGACGTTTGATGTTAATGTGCTGATTACAGATGTGCAGATATGAAAATGTGCGTGTATTCATTGCTACGTGTGTGTCTGCGTTGTCTTCATAGGGAACTTTCTAAAATCCGGGACCACGATGCTTTTGTTTCCCACCAGGCGGAGCACGCTCACTGGCAGCTAGCCGAGGCACTCAAACAGACTCGCATCGACTCAAAGTTAGTCCAGAGATCATTACATCGACTGGATGCATTAGTTATGAGCCTTGTTTTACTGATGATGGATGGTCAACGAGTTTTGTGTTGTGAATTATGCTCTTTACAGTGTGGTCCAGGCTTACCATCAGCTGTATGAGCTTCAGAGAGCTCGCCTGGAAGCTCAGCTGATCCACATGACCGAAGACAGAGACTGCTGGAGCCAGTTTACCCTCTGCCTCGCCCTGAAGGTGTGTGAGGTGTCTTTGATTTGACCTGGTCTTACTTTCATTTTAGAGTGAGAAACATGACTGTTGTACCAACTCTATGGTCAGCTCTCTGTGGAGCTCCAAGGCTAACAAAAGAGGAAGTGAATTAAAGGACACAACATGCTCAATGTAGCTTTCCCCTTAGCATTTCATCCATAGTAATACTTATACCAGCATATCAACCAATATGTCCCAACCACACAAGCTATCTATCTATATATAGATTTACAAAACCTGATTGATTTTTTTAAAAGTAATGAATAGATGCTTCAGCCATCCTGTCACGGCGGGTGAGAAGAGCCGTGTGAAAATAATAAATGAGGATCCAATCGCAGGCAGTAGTGGAGAAGTGAAGGTGGTTTATTGAACACGAAATAAATATGGACAAACAGCAAATGGAGCACGAACTAAACTAGACTGGAAACAACTAAACTACAGAGCACAAACCTGGACAAGAAGAGCAACGGCAGAGGAGACAGCAGGGAGAACACACGGGTGAGACATGGGGGACACACAGACGGACCAGCAACTACAAACACAGAGGACCGACTTAAATACACACAGACGAGACGCAGACCTTCACAATAAAACAGGAACAAGAAACCATCACACTAAAGACGCAGACTCGACAAAGAGAGACAGACAAAAATGACACATGGAACTAAACTAA